CAGTACCATGAAGAGCTGCCTGTACCTTCAGGAATGGGCAGCGCTCTGGAGTTCAGATCCATGTTCCCATTTCTGTGAACTTTTTTGCATCCTGTATTATTTTCTAAGGCAGTAAGACCACTTGATTTCCATCCACGCTCTTGATCAGATACTGGTAAATGACAAACAGCTAACCTTCTAACAGCTGCCTTTACGTTACCTACATACCTGAAGTGACAAGTTACGCAGCTTTGTATTTAGTTAGTACATTCTTAATCCTTTGCTGCCGATGTTCTCCAGAGCCTTTGGGAAGCATCCACCTGTGATCCTGTTTCAGTATGGGGATTTTGCCACAGGCAAACACATAACAAATTACTTGTAGAAGGAGGTACCATATTATTAGATCCAAAAATATCCTTTCCAGATACACTTCACACATTCAGTCTGACAGATTTCCTAAATGGCCATATTTTTTCTGAGGTGGTAATTTCTGCAACATGGAATTTGATTTTGTGCAACAAAAATCAGATTAGCTCGAAATCACTCTTTTTTTGAATTTAGATGTCCATAATGATAATAGTTTTGTGGCAGAACAGTCAGAACTTTTATTTTCTGTTAGCATTATCTAACTGAGCAAAATGCCTGGGAGCCTGCAGTAAAATCCAAACATCTCAGACAAGACTTTACACAAAAATTTTTCACATTCCTGAGGAAGATGCCATGGAAAGCATGTGAATGGAAGTATTTTTCTCTATCAATCCAGGACATTGGATGAGATACTAATTCACCCATAAATGTTAAATATATAAAATATATATGTGCTGAAAGCCTATAAATGGAATTTGTCTGAGACAATGATAATACAGCTGGGTTTTTATACAGCTGGCTTTTTTTGTATAAACTAAAAAAAAAAAATTAAAACCACAAAATGCCAAAACCACAGCTCTGTCTTCCTAAATAGAATGGCATCTTCCATTAGCCCTCCTTAGGAAAGATCTTATTTTAAGAAAATAGCTATTTAATTTAATTCAGTCCTCCTCTTGTCAAGCTTCATTTAAGGTCTTTTAAAAGCAATTATATCTCATATGTTTTAATTAGGACATTGGAGCCTACTCTATTTTTCACGCAATCAAAATTAAGATACTGTGCTTTTCAATTAATTTACATTTGGATGTATTAAGACCTTAGCAAGACAAAGTAGGGTTAAAGCCACGTCCAGAGTTCATGGGAGAATGAGAAAGACTGCAGATGAATGCTGATTAAACTCTCCAGCGAAGGCTAAGGTCTTCCATAAACATATGAGAAGTGCCAATTCAGTGACATTACTGCAGCTTCCCTGAGTGGACACCACTGGAGTCATAGAGAATGGAGCTGGAAAGGCTCTTAAGCTGTCTAATCCAAACTTCTTTCCAGAGATACTTCAGCTGAAGGGGAGAATAGGCCATCCATCAGTGGACTGCTGCGAAGGGACATTGGTGGCTGCCCTTCAGGTAGAAGCTGCTGGGAGTAACTGGATGACTTGGAAAACCTACCAGTCCAATTTGGCAGGAAATCATCATGGGACTGCCCCTGGGGCAGTGTTTAGCAGTTTGGGGAATGAACAAGGACTGGAAGCCTCTCCAGGAGAAAGTGTCTACATAAAAAGCTGGAGGCAGGGCAGGGGAAAAAGAGAGCAGTTTAACTACAGAAGCAGCAAAACTAGGAACGTGGCTGCAGTGGAGAGGGAGGAGCTTGTCAAGCTGATATTGATCCACAAATCACACACAGGGGGGAGAAGCTTCTTAAAAGACTCCTCAGAAGACTATCCTACATCTGAAAAGTACCGAGATATGGAAAGCAGTTGCTGACTGTTGTTCATAAGCTTGCACTTCCGTAACCTATTTCTGTTAGGCTGTGCATCAGTGGATGTTGTCTTAGAAAAGATAATCAACAAAATTAAAATCTAATTGGAATGTCAGACTTGATATAGGACAATTAAGCAACTGAAATAATCTGCTCTGACTTCCAGTATGCTACAGAATATCACAGGAGCTACCCCCTACGTAGCACTCCTCAGAGCACATCTAGAATAATGCATCCCATTTTGGGCTCCCCAGTAAAGAGAGATGTTGATAAACAGGAGTGAGTTGAGTGGACAGTTGCAAAGACGGTCAGGGATGAGAGTGCTTGCGCTTGAGGAGAGGTTGAGGGAACTGGGCTTGTTCAGCCCGTGGCAGGTTTAGAGGGAACATAATAGCAGCCCTCCAATGCTTATGAGGAGGTTATCATGAAGATGGAGCCAGGCTCTTCACAACTGTGCAACGGTGGGCAAGAGGCAAATTGAGACAAGGGAGGTGCTAGCCAAATAGAAGAAAACCCTTTTTCACCACGAGGCCAGCCAAGCACAGGTTGCCCAGAGAGGCCATGCAGCCTCCACCCTTGGAGGTTTTGCAAGATGAGACTAGATAAAGCCCTGAACAAGCTGGTCTGGCCTCAAGAGCTGCCCTTGCTCCGAGCAGGAGTTTGGACCAGAGATGTCTTCAGGTCTCTTCCTGTGACCCGACGATCACAGATGCTCATGAGTGATTATAGTTCATGGCCTTTTACTAGCCCAAAGCGTATGAAATGCCTCGCTCTCCAAAACGCCAAAAAACGATGCCAAGGGCAGAGACCACGCTACACCCGTGCACAGCCCCCTCCGCACTGGCTGCCACAGCCCTCCCAGCGTGCGGGGAGCGCCTGAGGACGGCAAGAGCAGACGGAGCCTCCCGGGGAGCCGGGGTCCGATCTCTCCCGGGGCACCTTGCCCGCGGCTGACAAGACAGGCACAACCCCTCACCG